CAAAAAGGTAACCTTAAATCTCACTTTGCTTTAGCCGACCAACTGTACTACCTAAAAAAATTTCGCTGTTAGATTAGGGTTAGATTTTGCTATTAAATTAAGTTAGGAAGTACTTAATTAGTACCAAATTTCGCAAGGAAAACTTTTTGTTAGTGCGCAGAAGGTGGTTTCATAGATAAAATGATGAGTTATAAGCGATTTTTTGGTTTGTTTTGATTTTTTGCGTTACACCTGATCTTGAAATCTGGTTGGCCAGTGAAATTTTTTAGGTAGTACAGTTGGTCGGCTAAAGCAAAGTGAGATTTAAGGTTACCTTTTTGAAGGGCTTTTTATTTATGCAGTAGGTAGATCATATATTAACACCACCCCTTTATTCGGAGATTAAAAGGCTTTTTGCCACAAAACGAAAAAAAGGAAAATTGTTATAAGTTGTTCAACGGTAAAATTAATGGGATGCTGCAGTTTCATTAGTAGGATCTTGCATTTCGTGCGGCACCTAAGCTAAAACCGATTTACCATTAATTAACCAAATAAAGTATATACATACGGATACCAACTTTGTTTAGTTTGGCTACGTTAATCAAACTCTCCTAGCTGATCCATTAGTATTACAATAATTTCGTTTACTGGCTAAAAAAAAATTGCGCGCGAAGGTACTGTACATACGTATGTTGTACGTGCGTACGTAAATAGCCCCTCAAATACCTAACATGTAGTACATAGGGTACTGGATCATGCTCATAATATAAATAAATATGCATATGTGCGCCCAATTTTTAAATGGCTTTTTATGTTATCGTTACGTTAAGTAGGTACCGTACGTACGTACATTAAAAGAAATTAGGAATGACCTGATTTACTAGGTACCGTTTATAGAATATAATTTTTATTAAGTTGCGGAATTTCATTTTGAAAATCGTTCTATATTTTCTCTTTTTGGTTCTATTGATAACAATTTAATAAGCAAAATTTTCATTAAAGTTTTATGAGTTTATAACAGGTTTAAATACAGGAATGGTCAAAAAAGAATAAGTAGCTAAAGTTCGTCCAAGATAAAGTATCTTAATACATTAGGAAAAAAAACAAAAAAAAAATCTAGATGCATATGCAAATTATATTACATGATGTTGTGTTTAACTATTTCATTAGATGGCCCTATAGTTAATAAGTAAAAATGCGGAAAAGAAGACGATGCAATGAAAAGCGGGGGGTATCAAATTCAGGATATTATCAAGAATTTTTTTTTTTTTTTTTTTTTTTGAAAATTTCAAAAAAAAGAACTTTGATTCAAATTTTTATACCAAGACGTAAAGTTAAAGCCGATAAACGCTATTTAAAAAATCATTCTTCCTAGTTCCATTATAAGTAAAATTTAAATTCGAATATTGATTGATGGGGCAAAGTGCAATTTAAAATGACATGCATACAGTATCAGATTTGACATCTCGACATATGCATATACCCCCATTGTTCATTAACGTTATTGTTTTGTCCGACCTCCTGAAATGGTTGAAATGATTGAAATGGTAGTGATGGTTGTAATGACTAAAGATCTATTGTAACAAAGATTTGCTTATGATATTAATCTGGTGAATATCTTATGTACAGTACACAATAGAATTTTGATATTGTTTATAAGCGCACATACTCACATATTGCTGTATTGAATTGCTCGAACAACGATATTAGGAAGTTGAGGCTAGTTCATGTATGTAAATGTGTCATGGTATTTTCTCTAATCCTCTATTCAAAGAAATTCTTTTATAATATAGATGATCTCTTGTTTTGGCGCATTTGGCGGAAAGACCAAACAAATTCCGTAAATTTAGATATCCCTACACCCATAAAACTGTTACCATATATAGATGCATAATATATACATTTCTTCTCCCTAATGCTTTTGCCTAAAACGATGTATTACGGTGTTCCCCGTATTGAAATTTTGTTATATCGTTCATACGCATATAAAGGCCAAATCTTCTCTCTACTTTCTGCAGAAAAAAAACCGTTAGTACTATTATTATTATTTCTTCACATCACTCAAAAAGAATAAAAAATGACTTCAAATTCATTATGCACTCGGTTTTTATTTCTTATAACGATTTTTTTGTGCATTATTGCATATTTTCCTGACCTTAGTACTGCTGATAATTTGGATAGTCTATTTAATGAGCTGGAACCTAGAAACGCTACCTATCTTGAAAAACGAGACAAGACAGGTGATATAACATTCTACGATGTAGGCCTTGGTGCATGCGGTAGTCGCAATACAAATAGTGATTTGATTTGTGCACTATCTTCTATACTATTCGGCAATTCACCAGGCGGCAATCCAAACAAAAATAAAAACTGCGGTAGGAAGGTTCAAGTTTCTTGCGGTTCGGAATCAGTCACGGTTACGGTTGTGGATCGATGTGCAGGATGTAAAACAAATGATGTTGACTTAAGTCCTGCTGCTTTTAATAAACTACTTGATCCTTCGGTGGGACGCCAACAATGTAATTGGAAATTCGTATCATAATGTAATGTTATGTTGAAAATTATTCTCCAAAAATTTTTTATCACCTTTCAAGAAATCACTTTTTTTAAAATTTTTTGATGGATTCAAAATATTTAATCTGACATATACATAAATATTAGTAATATATCTAAATTGCTTTCATGTTTCGAAAAATCCACATACATGTGCTGATCTTTTGTTTCCTTCCAACCTTTACGTAACTGTAATAGCTTAGAAAATATATAATCTTTTGTATGATAAATCATTCCTTTTTCTTTTACAATCTTATAATCCAGAGGAGTATTTCAAAAATACTCTTTTTTCATTAAATAAGGAATGTATACACGAATTGAATGAAATAATAAATTCATGCGTCTTGTGCACTGTTTAAGTCGCATATTTCCTGCACAATAATATTTTTGAAGTTTCTTACAATATATTCTACAGCACAGGATTACATATACGAAATAACGTGCGTGAACGTTATTTAGAATAATGGCCTGAATTAAGCTTAATTTAGGCCAAATTCGTAATTTTACCCTGCGTGTTATTTCACGATAATACAGTATATCAATATTCTCAATAACAAGTAAGGTATTACAATTTATATTAGATATTTCTATTTTAAATTATTCCGTTTTCATTTGACTCCTGAAAAATTTAATTAGTTTTCTCCTTGATGCAGTTCGATCATGTTACGTGCCCAATTTATAACTACCTTTCTGCGCAACTAATATAATTGCAAAATTAGGTGTAATGCGACATTTAAAATCTCTGTAATATAATAAACTTAATTTCTGCATTTTAATAAAAAAATTTCTTGCAAAATTTTGGTATAAACCTATTTTATCCTGTGTATTATTTTCAATAAAGATTTAATTGGACCAAATTCCAGTAGCCCAATACCAATTAAAAAAAATTAATTAAATTAATTTAAAATTTTCAAAATAAAAATGTTTTAACAAATAACTAATCAAATTCTACTTAAATTTTTTTATTCAAATTTTGTAAGTTTATAGAATTAAAAAAATTTTAGCAATTTGATTTTGTAACTGTCAATATATATAATCAAAAGTTTTAAAATTTTAACTATTTCTATTGTAACAAATTTTTTAATTTTTTTTTAATCTTTAAGCAAAGATTTCTTGATAACGATTTAACTAAATTTAGTAAAATTTTTTATTTTAATAATAAACTATGAAAAATAACGTTATATTCAAAATAATACTTTGCAAATCATAACTAATTAAAAAAAGATATAATACGTAATAATTTTAACAAGATTAACAACTAAATTTTTTAAAAAAATTAAAAACACAAAATCTCTATAATTAAAAAGAAAATATCTTAATTTACACCAGGTGTATATACACACATACTAATTTATTGATTTATGAATTTGTGTAATATATAAATTATAAACGAAAAATTAGTATAGCTTAAGGTTAGGGTGAGGTAGCTTTAGGGTTAGAGAAGGTTATAGTTTATACTAAAATTTTGCAAAGAATATTTTTTGTTAGAACCCCAAAAACTATTATAATCAGAATTTTGAGATATCAAATATATGTATGTACATAAACCTGGTGTACAAATAGCAATTGTCAATTAAAAATCTCTGGGAAATAAAATTTTAAGCAGCTAAACAAGTTTTTTATTAAGTTCAAAAAATAATAATTACTATGATCAAACATCTTAATCTATGCGTTACATATACATATAGTTCTTATTAAATAAAGGCAAAACTACCAAAAAATAATGTGCTTTATATAAACTTGTTTAACACATACTGTAAAATATAATCTTTATGTTTACAAATTATTTTACACAAGTAATAATTTATATAATTCGTATATTCGTATTTTGATATATTCTAATACACACTTATTATCTCGCTTTTACTTACACTTTCACATCTTACCTTACTCACTTACTCACACTAGATAAAAATAATTTAATTAAAGTACAAAAATATTTGTTTAATACTTTACATTTTATTAATTTTGCTTATATTACATTATATTTATATTATTTATTTTATTGTTTTATTTCGATCTTGGATTATTTAAACTTTATACCAATACGGTTAATACTGTTAAAACTAACATCTGATTTCTTAGAGTGGTGTTCTTGCAAAGTGGATCTATCAGTGCTTTTTCAGCGTCTTATCCAAGATTATTATAATATAGGATGATTATAACTAATATTTAAAGAAGTTTGCATGGTGTTCTTGCAAAGTGCATCTGCTAATACTTTTCCCTTCTAATCTTATTCAAAAAACCAGCATGGTGTTCTTGTAAAATACATCTACTAATGCTTTTTCCCTTCTGATTTTATTCAAAGAAACC